CGTGCGGGGAGCCGGACGCGCCGGGTCTCCGGCGGAGGTGCCGGGTCTCCGGGGTGGGTTGGACTGAGTAGATCGTGAGATGGATGTGAGTTGTGGGGCGTTATTCTAGAACATGACAGCCAACTTGGCTTTGGTGGCTTCAAAGCCTTTAACAAACCACGGATTGAAACATGTGATCGTAGTTGTAGGGCCTGGCTTTTGGGGCATGTCAAGTTCAGCAGCTGAGCTGAGCACCACTTGTTTGAAGATCTTTGGAGTTCCAGGGAGGTTGGTCAACCCGATGCCAAGGAAATTGCCCATGGTCGCCTTGGCCAAGCAGAATCACTCAGCGGATGATTTGCTGAACCTGCGCGGCGAAACCGGCGGAATCACAGGTGTCCGCTGCGGACAAACATGTGTGTTAAAGAATATGTTTAATATAAAATATAATGGTAAAGATATTCTTTACATAAGGGGGGGGTTAAATCAAGAATCTAAGAGTCTACAGATCCAGATGCTCCACGATCCTGCTTGCAGCCGCACCGCGCAGGTGATGGGCGCTCCTCATCCCACGCGATGTCCAAGCATGAGGACAGCATTTCGTCTGGGCCGCCAGCGTCTCATGCGGCCATGGGCCCCGGCGCGGATGCACTAGTGCCGCAGATGGTGGGCGAGGGCCTTGGGCTTCCGCGCCGCACACGGCTGAGGAGGGCGGAGGGCAGGGCAGGGTGAGGGTTGGTGCTGCCTTGTAGACGGGAAATTCACGGGGACACCCTCTTGATCCCTCTTGCATGTTTCAAATGCATTCACATGCACTACAGATGTATAGATCATGTGTGACCTGTGGTGTGGAAGTAAATAATCGGGCAGAGTTGGGACCGCAGAATGCCAGAATTGATCTTGAAAGGTATTGTTAAGAGATACCGGTATAGATTTGTGGCCCTATTCCCACCATTTTGGAGTACCATATGATACATGGGAGTTGATCGAAAACCCCGTGTAAGGAGTTTTATATAAAACAGCCTTTCAGATGTTGTTAGAACCATCCGCGAAAGATTCGCGATGAGGTTCGCGAAAGTATCTTTTTTTTCCGCGAAAGATTTATCGAAGGTCATCGCTTTCATTGTTTTCCTTTCTACCGGACTGACAAAGAATAGAAACGCAAGGCAACCCTCCGGCAGAGCCAGTGGGCGAAGTGTCCCCATGTCACAGACTAACGAACTGAAGCCTCAACCTTTCCGTGCCCAGCCCTGGCAGTGCGTAAAGGATTCTCCGATTCCTGTCCCCACTGTCACATACTAGCAAGCTGGGTAGGCGCAGCCCTGACAGTGAGGCAACGACCTGCCGCTGCTCTGACGGGCTGTGCAGATGTTTGCAAATGTTACGGCGTCCCGGGGAAAGCACCAGTGAAATTTCGCGAAAGATCCGCGAAAGTTTCGCGAATGTGCCGCTAAAGTCTAGGTTCCCAGCTTGAGGCCCCCAACATTCCCCAAGCTGCATCACCCTGTGTTGGTAGCTGACACAAGGATTGGGTTGAGTTGTGCCTGACTCTATTTGGCACAATTGTCGCACAGATGCTGCAAGTGACCCTGAGTAGCTGTGCAAACGTTCACCATCTACTGGGGTCATGCTGCAAGACGTCTCTCCCTATTATGACGTGTTCCGGCTCATGTTAGCTAGACATGGTTGTAGGACCATGCTTCGCGATGAGGCCGCGAAAGATCCGCGAAAGATATCTTTTTTCCGCGATGAATGGCCATTCCAGGATGAAAGAATATTGATCAGCCACCACATGAGTTGAAATGTGCCGCCTATCATTACCCCCTTTCTAGGCAAAGGACATGACATGAACAGACCCAGCACCGCGCGGCCAAGCCCGTCCAGTCGGAGGAAGTCGTCGGAGCCCGAGAACAAGGTGGACTACAGTCGCTTCATGGCGCCAGCAGAGCGCGGCTACGAGCCCCTTCGGATGACGAAAGTTGGAAGGGGTTGAAACACCAGGGGGTGGAATCGTGGAACCCCGAAAAATTTCCCCAAGCCATTCAAAAGAGGTACGGTGTTCCCATCTAATAGCAAGATAATAGCATGCAATGTTCATCCAATCTAAGGCGGTTTCCACCACTGAGTGATCTGTTCAGTTTTCTTGGTATCGACTCCCAGGCAGCAGATGTCCATCTCACCCTTCAGCAGCCCTTTGCTGGTGTCCAAGTCTAAACTGGAAGAGCGTCCAGCTCACATCCCTGCACGGCGCCTCACCATCACGGCAGCTTGGAGCTTGGATGATACCATTTCAAAACAGAGAACTTGGACCTGTTGGGATGGCATGAGGAGAGAGAAGGAAGCCATGAGCCATTATATATAAGCATCTTCAAGCAAATGAGTGTTGAAGTTCTTGAAGCAAACGCCAACGGTACCGGAAGAACCTCGGACATCCAGACGCCTTTTTTGGCCTCAAGTGCGAGAGCAATCCCACTGGGGCGCTTTTGCAGGAACTTCCTGTCCACAGGTCAGACTGGAGGCCCCTTTGAGGGCATCACTCCTGGCAGGAAACCTCCCCCAAAAAATCACTGGAAAGACCAAAAATATACCAGTCTACCCATGGCCCGCCATTTGGCCTGATTTGACCGTCCTCTCACTGAGCCCTTTCTCAAGGCCTTGGAGCCGCTCCGACCTGGCCTTCCCTTGCCCGTGGCGTATGGCTTGCAAAGCCGGGCCGACCGGTCAAGCAGCTCGCAAGGCGTTTTCGGATTTTCGGTTGGGAAGTGCAGGACATTGATTTCGTTTCAGGATGCTCAGCAATAACCTCAATCATGTCGTAGCTGCTGAATGTGTCCGGCCACTTCTTTCACATCGAACAACATTGGACAAGTATGTATGATGTTCCTAAACCCATTGTATAAAGTCGCTTCCGTAAGACGTGTCAGCTTGCCAAATGCTTACACGCACGCTCGCACGCTGGCCTGTGAGGCAGCTTGCGTAGTGGTCGGAGACCGTCATCCTTGGACCGTGGACGGCTGGGCGGCAACGCGGTGCTGCCGACGCTGCAGCAAGCGGCTGGGAAATGACTTGTTCGAGGGAGCCGAAGGCTTGAGAGGCAGAAGACAGGAAATATAACTATACCGGGTGTGGGAGTGTTGGACCCGCGAATGTGGGACGCTGGACAGTTAGTTTTGGACTCCAAACAGTTCCAGTCGTGTTTTTTTTTTTTTTGTGTGTGTGTGTGTGAGCACCTTTTTGTTCCAAGTGAGCCCTTCGTCAACGTGAGGAAAATCAGAGTGCGGGTCTTCCCGGTCCAATTTCCTCACCCCGAGTCCCCGAGTTGTTTATTTTCAAAAAACGTTTCTTGACACCCCTAGCTGGTGCGAGGGAGCTACGAGCCAAGGGTATATCCATGGCAATATATTCCATGTTTCAACAGGGGAGCCGCTGGTCCTGGTCGCTCCCACGGCAGTACCTCAACCCCAACAGCTAGCCCCACATCCGGCTCAGCGGCTCCGAGGTCGATGCCCGGGCGTTGGTTCAGCCTGCACCACTGCACCAGCGAAAGTCCTCGCCGGCGCGGAGCAACGGCAGCGACGAGTTGCTGCGATGAGGCCGGTGTTGCACCACAGGGTCCAGCGCCAGACATGAAGGGGGGCGAGTCGGCGAGGGTTGAAAAAGCAAGAAAGGAGCACCACTGATGTTTGGCTACAGAGATTTGGAGAACCTTGACTGCCTTAGCTGAGATCATGGATGTAAATTTAGATTCATTCACTGTTGTCATATGGCACCAGTGTTGGAGCCACACCAGTGTTGGAGCATGTTGGAGCCACACCCGTGTGCAGGCCAAGCTTGCATAGTGAGAGCATTGCTGCTGGGTGATAGTCGGAAGTGATGTGTCAATGCAGTGGCTTTGGATGCGTACACCGGCGCAGAGGCGTCCAGAATCACTGGCTTGTAGAGGAATAAGTAAAGTTGACTATCAGAGGCCTCTTTCAAGGGTCCATGTTAAGGTGTTGTGAGGGTTTTGGCAATGCCAATATTATTGGTTCTTCTTGGTGACCTTGGTGCCTGTAGGGGTAGTTTCTTCCAAACCACCAGGAGGAGCCGTAGTTTTGTTTTCAGCATAGTAAGACTCGATTGAACTCATATTTAGAGCCAGTGATGTCCACCTAGAGACTTCAATGAACTTCATTACCCCACGAAAGGCATGTTAAAGCTAGGATATGTGATTCTCATGTGATTAATCCTTCTGTGTTCTCCTGTTTTGGGACTTCAATGGACTTCATACGAGTTGTTGGGTTCTTTATTTCGTGTTCGGGACACCACCGGAGCACCCACAGTGCCCACCGGAACATCCACCCAACAGCCGGACACGGCGTGCGAAGAGAAAAGAGAATTCGAGTCGAGACCGTGTCGTGCTGAAGTGAACTTCGTAAGATACATTGTAACTGGAATCCACAGGGGGATGCTTATTAACTCAGTTGCTAACTGGAATTCAACGAAGTAGATGAGATTCAGATCAAGATGGTTTATAGTAAGAATGTGAAGAACTTACATGCGATCCAAGACACTCAGCTGGCCACTGAGTGTCTTAAACATTCCTGGCTCATGAGTGACGGCTCTCTCCTCGAATTCTCGGTATCGACGGGGGTCGATGGTGGCCAGCTAGCCCTCACAAGAGGGGCACAGCGGTTCGAACGTTTCACCCCCACCTGGCCTTCCGGAGGGAGGTGCGCGGAGGGAGGTTCGAAAGTGCGGCCGGGAAGGCGAAGATGCGGTCCGGGTGGCGCACCCGAGACAGAAGATGCAGTCTTGAGCATCATGCTAAGACATTTAATTACTGTATTCAGTTGGAAGTCTTGGCCACTTATGAATATAAAAAGAATTAAAAGTTAAACAGATATAAGAAGTAACTGGAGTTTGTTAGGATTGCTCAAGACATTTTGACCCTTGATAATACTATACCACCACTATCCACCAACAGTTGCAAACTTCAGCGGCATGTACTGACCAAAGGATTTGGTTGCCATACCTGCAAGGCGATGGCTTTCCGGAGAACTCTTTGTCCACTCCCTGGACTGTCGAGGAGACGACGGGGAAGGTATTTGTTTGTTTTATTTTTTTGGGCCACGGCCTGAAAGGCCTAAAACGAAAAGATCGGAGTTGAGGATCTTGTTCTGTTTGGAGATGCAAGCTGCTTGAAGCACCGAAACCGAGCGATGGTTGAGTCTATGGTGGATCTAACACTTCCTGATGGTGGATAACATGGATAGCCACCAATCACTGCTTGATCTGTTTGGTTTTTGGATTGCGTATGGTGGTCATCGGAAATCGGGGCTATGCGTTCTCCATGTAGCCATGATCATTTCAGGGAGCATAGATCGCAGATTGAAGATGGATTCAACATTGGTCATGCTAATCCCAGCCACTCCATGTATGGAATATATGCCGATCAGTTGGGGTGGTTTTGGGGGTCAATGTAGGCATATATGGCAGTCCCATGGAGTGTCTGGGAAGTATTGGACGACCTTTGAGGGAAGGTCTTTGGACGACCCGGCGCCATGTGCGGGAAGAAGTGGCCATTCCGGTCCGGTGTGCCAGGATTGGTGGCGATGGACGCCCGTGTTAGCGCCACTGATTAGCCAAGGTAGCAACTCAAGCAACACCCAAGCTATACTGTGGCCATGTGTATCTCCCAAGCACCCAGGTAGCACCACCCAAGCTACTGTAGCACCATCCAAGCACCACCCAACCTGCTCTAGAGCCAAGGTATTTGTATATAACATCTCCAAACATTGCAGGACAGGAAAAACTCACCCACGTGCTCCACCTGGTCCACCCGGTGCTCCAGGAGTGCGTCCAGCACTTGCTGCAACAACAGCTGCAGGCACAAGAGTTCCATCGAGAGGCGCCAGGTGGGTGTGGCCACCTCTGCTTTCACCCCCAAAGGATGCCAAAAATTGATTCATCTACAAAGGAATGAGGAAACAGAGGGTCCATGTTGTGGGTCTATGAGTCTATAAGTCTACAACCATGTCAGGCACCCACCGGAGTTCGGCTTCGTGGGTGCTGTCGTTCGACACCTGTTTCGACAAATGGTTTGCAATGGTTTGCATCTACTATAATGTGATACTGATAGACATTTCTATTGTTTTTTTTTGGGGGGGTTCTGGCACCAATTCGCCGCCAACACCGGATTTGGACCAACACCAACACACGCCCACAGTCGCATCGCTTCTGTCCACTGATTGTTTCCGCCGGCCGTTCGTCGAACGGGCTTCCAACGCACCGGCACAGAGGTGAGTGGAGATTCTCGAACATCTGCGATGGACATGTCACCGATGATGGCCTCGTCGAACCCAAACCTCAAGGTGCCATCGAAGGATGTCCGAGTGGCTCGGGAAGAATTCGGTGAACGATGGTAGGAGAGGTTCCAAAAGCGAATGTAACAAATATTGAGGAGTATTGAGGTACCCCTTGTTTGGACATGTTTGGACCTTCCAAGAACTGTTGATTTTTTGAAGCAAATGAATCAAGAAAATGGTGAGATGGTTCAGGTGTGAGCCACTACCAGCATCATGAAAACATTGTTTTCCAAAGTAATTTCAATAGACCATGCACAACAAACCGTAACCATCCGTAACCCAACCCAAACATACCAAAACCAAATTTTTGACTCAACAGACTGACATACACTTCCACAATCTAAAATCCTGGCTTTGGTTGGTGAAAGGACGTGAAAACCTCTTCCAGAACACACAAAGAGAATATAACATTGAGAAGTTGTTTGGCCAGTTCCGTTCTTGGGCGAATCCCTTTTCAACCCGTTTCAACCCCTCAAAAAAACCGTTTCGGCATGTTTCGGCAATGGAGGTTCGCCGCGTGCGTTCCTTACCCTCCATGCCGTTGGAGAGCGACTCCGACGAAGGAGGCAGGGAGTGGGCCGGGCAAAATGCCTATACCAGCAGCTTCCAGAACTGAACACTTGTAGGTTCTTGAGGCTGATGGTATAGTGCCTATGTGTTTAGAATTTGAAGCACCGAATGCAAGCTTAAGTCGAGAGAACATTTGGTGTAGTTGTGAAGTGATCCTATTAATTGGAGTGTTATAAGGGATCATGATTTAGCTTTATATTCCCACCCATGCTACGCATCCTCCTGGCAGGTTTACCTTCTCCGCAGTCAAGCTGTTCATGGCAGATCAAGCCCCTGCAATCCTCGGTGCAGTGGGCAACAGGTCGGCCTGGGCCTAGTGAGGAGGAGGTCGGGGAAAGCCACGTTGACTCCGTTGACTGGTTTTGTTTACACTAATTCATTGCATCAACGTACAGATTCACGTAAAGCTGATCACATGTGGACATGATCTAGTACTGGTCAGTCGGTCAAATTAAGAGTTCTCCAGCTTATTTCATCCACTACTAGGAGTTCTCCATCCCCAATTGACGGACTTCTGACCGGAATCGCGACCGGAATCGCGACCGTACGCCAGAAGCTTCATGGTCCGTACGCCAGAAGCTTCACTGATTTTCCAGGGAAACAGCGGGTCAGCACTGAGTGTCATGTCGATCGCTGGTGTACCACGCTGGTACAGGGTGAAAACGGTGCCTATGAATGAAGAGATGCATATTCAGAGAGGGAGACTATGCCCAGGCTTTACTTTGACACTAGAGGGGACAGTTGTGGGTTCAGTAGCAGCTCAACCAGGCCGGTAGTGGAAATTCTACTGTTTCGGCATGTTTGGAATGACTTGCTTTGGCTGTACGAGGTGATCTGCAAGGCTGAGAAAGGGCGCGGTCTGCGTCTGCGCACCGCACATCCAGTGACACTGCTGTCACTGCGAGTGGCACTGCTGTCACTGCGAAATCGCAGTGCCAAAGGTGATCAACGGAGGAGTGACGCAGAGTCGCTTCAGCTCATGGTGGGTTCTGTGAGGAAAGGTCGTGAGCTGAAGCGTTTGGACTATCATCTCAGCATGATCAGGGTTGGAGACGATCATCTCACGCCACGTGTCAAACTGCATACATTGCCATGAAAAAGCTGTTCCTTTCGCCACCCCTCCGGCGTACATAGGCTCCTATCTTTTGCCCCGCAGACATTTCGGACCTGCGGACGATGGTGGAGCGAGATGCAGTTTATAAAATTTAAGACAGCAGGGCAGCTTGCAGATCTGTTGAATTCTTTTGACTGGAAAGGTTTGGGCTGGAAATCATGTAAAATTTGACCAGTTGCTGAGGCATACCAAAGTCTTGATTGATCTTCCATAGGCAACCTTTGTGCTTCTGAAACGAAAGACATATTTTACATTTGGACAAGGATTCTTTCAGATAGTGTTTCATTCAACTCTAGCCTTTGTACGCCTCCATGCCCCACACCCGCAATGGACGTCCATTTCACTGAAAAACATCACTTCACTTGCGAACCTATATATATATATAACTTATAACGTGATGTGCCCTTTGCATGCCAAACTTGTCATCCAAAAATATTGGTCTCGTCTTCTCACCTGGTCGCCTTTTTGGCAGCATTTCGGCTCCAAAGGGGCCGTCGGGCCGAGGGCCGTCGCGAGGTCCCGACCTGCAGGGGCGGCACTGGTCGCTGCCCCCGTCAGACGTGCCAGTCAGTGAGAGAACTGATTGTGGAGGCATGGTGTATTGTAGAGGCATACGAAACGGCACAGTTATTTTTCTTTTGGCGCACTGTGTTCAGTACTTTGGGGGGTGATTGAGGGGGTATTGAGGGGGTTGGTGGAGGGTATAAGAAGTGCTTGAAGAATGCCAACGCAATCCAACTTTTGAAATTCTGTTCACACAGCGGAGGCACACAAGAAGAGCCACCAGTCATGAGACTTGCCGGTTGGCCCAAAGCAAGCATCAATATCAGCTGTGTTCAAGAAAATAACAAATAAAGTTCAGCTTTCTACCTTTTTTGGAATCAATTTGGGTATCCATTTAGCTGCGTCTTAAAAATGGAAAAACATGGCGATCAGCTCAGGGTTGCGCTCACCCCGACACTGCTGGAGGCGAGGCGGCGATGCCACGCTCCGGTCATGGCGTGGCCTCGGAGGAGGGGATGGCAACGGGGCATGGCAAGGGTGACCTTGTGACATCCCCAAAGAGGATGTGCATAATGTTGGCACAGGATTAAGTAACCTCCTCCCCTTGTCAATCAAGCCCAGCCCAGCTCGAGCCCCCAATACTAAATTCGTTTAAAACCTGAATACCCCAATATGTGTTTTCCTGGCAGAAGCCTCCCCCTATTAATCAAGCTCAGCCGCACCAGAAAAACAATGTTTACTATTCTAATTATATATGTATTTACTGTTTACGTTCTTTTCGGTCAGTATCCAACACTTTTTTGGTCCATGGTGATACTGATTTGATCCACCCTTTTCTCATGCCAGCTCTTTATTGAGGGGATATGGTCTCTAACACCTCCAATCTCAAACCTCGTTGACCTTGAAGGGGGGGGGTTGATTAATCCGCTGTTGACGTTATATATATATATATATATCATATATGTCAATGTACATTATAAAGTTATAATATTATATGTGATAAGACATAAGTTTCTTTGTATTTGGATCACGGCCCAACCTAGGGTTTGGCCAGATCCGTTCCCAGGAGCGACGGCTCAACGTGGGTCTTCAGACCTTGCCGAGTGGATTCAGCGCCTTCCCGGTGGCCAGGCAGAGCTTGTTCCACCGTCGCTCGGTGGACGCGGAAAAAAAACGCGTTTTCGGAGCGCGAGTGGCAGGTGAGATGCCTGCATTTAGGTGTGCCATAGCAGGGCCATGCAGGGCCGGAAGGGGAACTTCAGCTTGCAGTTGGTGCTGGTTTCTTCACGCTTGGTTCGATCATTCAATGATCTAGGGACGACCTAGTGGCAAATACATTTGGACGGACTCTTGAGTGGCCCTCATTTGTTAATTAAGGGGTTCCTCATGGTTGCACAATGTTACACTCATATAGACCCAATATCCATGAATGATTGTGAATGTAAGGACGGCTGGTGATATGGCTGCGTCCCCACCAATTCCTCTTATTATGGTCAAGACAAGTTGTCATCCCGTTTTTTTCGATCGCTTTCGCTTTAAGTGGGCTGCAGTGTTCGGGTGGGTTGGACTCATTTGGTACTTGAATCAGCTCACTGATTGAGTTTGTTGTTCACTTACGCCCGGACATGAAGGCGTCGGTCACGATTTTTTTGGACTCAAGGCCTTGGGCGGCTCGAAAGGTGTTGGCCAAGGGGCGACTTTGAAACTGAAAGGATCCAAGGGGATCTTTGATCAGAGGTGCGATTAAGGGGTCAATGCCTTTGCAGGCACCTTCGAACCGTTCACCAACCTTATACTACCTTTGTATACCTTTGTGGCCTTCCTTTGACCTCTCCTTTTCATCAAGCTGCAGCGTTCTGATCTTGCAAGAAAACTGGAATGAAGCAGAAAATCGAGCTTGCTCCTTTCTCTCCTTTCTTCCTTCTTCTTCCTTCGCTTCGCTTCAGCTCTCCCCCCAAAAAAAGACACCAGAAAAATCAGAAAACAAGAATCGGTCGGCTCCACAGACCCTGGAAACCCGCTCGAATCAGCCATACGCTCAGCCGCGCCCCTTATCGGCGCCTTGATCGCCGGTCGCCCACGCGGGATCGGCGCCTTCCGCGCCGATTCCGCGCGGCGATTCCGCGCGCGCTCGCGCTCGCGGTTCGCTCCGGGGGGGGGGGCGAAAGCGGTCCGACTCAGGAAGCATCAACCAGAAGATGCCGGAACTTTGGTCCGACTTCTCGGACTCGGGCCTGCCACAGGCGGTCGTTCGAGTCTCGCGTCGCGGTCGGAGCACGTCGAGTCGAGGCGGTGACGGCCCCGGTGACGGCCCGGTGGGAATGATGGAGTGTTTTGGGGCAGAAGACCGCCATGGGTGAGGGTGGTTTCTTTTTGGTGTTGTACTACATGCATTTGTATAATGTATATACTTTATATATCTTTATATGGTATCATCTTATATGGTTAGTTGTCAGGTGTTGTGAGGGGTGTGGGGTGTGAAGGGGCACACCGTTTGTTTCTTGGAGGGGGGGGGCTCTTGAAGAGGCCCAAGAATACCGTACAGTATCGTACAGTATACTTATCGTTCTATTCCTGGAGACTGGTGCCGTGGGAGAAAGGAGAGGTTTTTTGGGACCGTTGCGTGATTTTGAAGTCTCCAAACGCCTGCAGGAGAGAGCGGAGGATGCTTATAATTATAGATCTTGCAGATCATGTCATGTCCGCGCAGATGCGCTGCACAAATCCCTACTTGTACAAATCTTTTGACCAACCTGCAGATGCATCATGGCACCATGGAAGATGTTTGGTGAGATGTATCGTCCACATGTGGAAAGGCTTTTGCACGGAAGTGCCTGCAGCTCCGTGGACAGGCGCGGGCTGGACCTCACCAGCAGATCGACCGCTTTCACGGAGATCACGCGGCTTCGTCCTAAGCGGTCGCATCGACCGCCTTCGGCCGGGAGACCGGAGACGGGCGTGTGGAGACCGGAGACCACTGTTTGACCAGAGGCTGATGTAAACACCGCGCTGGAGAGGAAAGGATAGGAGTCGGTCGGGCCCTAAAATACTGGTCGTCATGATGAATTTTCCCATGAACCATCCAGTTCACAACAAAAATTCCACGAGGTGTCAGTGTTGGCCATCCCGCACCACTTGCAGGTGTTGTGGCTTTGGTGAGGGGATGTGCAGGGTATTAGGGCTTGCTACTAGCATCTGTAATTATAGATTTAGTTTGTTGGACATGCTGGTACAAAAAGCCGGCCGACCACATGACCCGGCCCGCCACAGACCGGGCCACGCTCCGGCTGCTCGCCCGAGGAGCTGTCTCGGAAGGCACCACCGCTCTCGGCCCGGCCGGGCAAGGTGGTGTGGCTGGGCGAAGTGACGTAGTGACGGGCAGGGGAGAGGGACTCCATGGACTGGTGCCAAGGTGGAAAAAATGAAAAGAGATGGAATTTGCAAAGTCCATGGAGTCACTCTCAAGTGACTCTCCCCGGTCCAAGTGACTCCATGTGCCAAGTCTTGGTGAAGTGTCGCAACATGCAAAGTGTCCTCTTATATTATTTAGAAGCTGCCTTTCTGCAACGTGGGTGAGAATTCGATGGTGGCTGTTGCATTGATCAAGCCTCTCCTACCTAGATTGTCAAAGATCTCCATGCAGAGGCATTAGTCGGTAAAGGGTTGGCTTTTTGCTTGAGTCAACACAGGACGTCCATGGTCATCCTACAACTGGATGATATAAAGCTGCAGCAAAGACCATGGTTTTGCTCTCCCGCCATAAAAGTATGCAGCGCAGGAAGTTCTTTGTTTCACTCACTGAGTTAAAACAATGGATTGGAGAAGACTGGAAACGAGTTGCTCCTTTGGGTGTTTGGGTCACATAATAGCACATGTCGTGGAACCTTGTTCGTGTCTTCCGGCCCGACGTCACCCGGCGACCGTCCCTCAGGTTCGTGGGCTTCGCAGAGTTCGACATGGACGGCCGCGCCTTCACCGGCGGGGAGATGGATCGGATGATGATGCAGCTCGGAAGCCTTCGTTCTACATGGCACGCCCCGGTGTCATGTTCGTCATGCTGGACGAATGGGCATTGACCTGTTTTGGGTTCGGGGAAAGAATGATATCAAGGGATATATAGGGATAATTCCGGGATAATACACGATAATATAATGATATTATGAAGGGTTGAAGGGTGAAGGTCTATACTAGTAGCATGTGTTGCTGGGTGGCGGTTGGAACGGCCGACATGATGGAGTACATCATTGTACATCGATAACCATTATCATTGTCATTTATCTAAGAACTGATCAAAAGAGAGGGATTCACCACCCGTGGTAACCACCTCGTGTCATGGATCGGAGTTGCTGCTTTTCTTTTGCGGCCAGGTTTCAGGCACAAATCCTCAAAACTCCAACCTTTCGAGGGGTTTGAACTTCTACTAGATATGCATGGTTCTTGCAAGCTGCACGACTGCGGTTGTGGCCATCCGAAACCGAGCATTTTGGCTTCAGTCAGCTCCAACCATTTGAGTGGTGAAGCCGCAGTTCAAGAATCCTTCAACTTGAGGTGAAGATATATCGGAAGAGGCTGATAGGAGACGAACACAGCCTTTGCATGTTATCCGAAGTCACACCATTTTCTTTTTTTGGGGGGGGTTGCTCTCGCATCTCGGACGGTCTTGTCCCGCTTTTCCCAAAGAGAGCAGCAGCTCCGAGGATTTCAGCATCTCAGAAGTATCCCTGCTCTCGGCCAGCCACCTTCGACGAGTACGCAGCAACTTGGCTTCGGCTTGAACTCAATTCGAGGGGAAGATGTCCAGCCTTTTTGATCCTCTTTTGTAGTTCAGTTTCATGAATTCATGAGGATCCCAGAGTGAGGTTTGGTGGGGGGGCTTTGGGCAGAAGATTCTCCCATTCATACAGATATGCCATACATTGACCCCTTTTCAACAATCGGCCCGTTTCAGTTTGAGTCTTTGGGGAGTTGGAAAGAAACAAGCAAACCTCCCACTCCCCAAACGTGGGCGCTCCCAGTGGGGAGACAATCCGCCCGAGCGCACCGAAGGAGCGCTGTATCTTGGGTCTTCCCGAGCGCAACAACTGCGGGCGCGATGTGGTCTTCGTGGGCCCTGGAGCCACCGGCTGCCGCTCGGCTCAGCTCGGGCCATTGGGCCCACGCACGCCAAGTGGGACATCGTGGGAGATGGTGGGGCTTTGGGCCGTGGGGTTTCAGGAACGATTGTGAGGATTCGATCAGATAATATCTGGTTTATTCTGGTTTTATATCTATATCTATTGTTTATATGTTTGTTGTTGTTACTATTTTGTATTTACCGTCATTACTTTGTCAAATTGTATTTTTTTTATCTAGCTATCTAATATATTCATTTATTAATATATTAATCTATCTATCTATCTATCCAGGAAATGTTCCAAAAACTAACATGGACGTGGAGTTCACAAGTTCACCCCACGTATATACAACTAGAAGCACCTGGTGAAAGAACTTCTGCCTCAGTCCAAGCCCGGTAGGATTTTTAGGATTTGATCTTTTAGGTGTGTTCCGACTGGGGTGCCCAACTAAGTAACTCGACCTGTGCCGTGGAGAGCTGCAGTGTGTGTGTCGCCATCTCGAGGTGAGCTGTTCCACACCAACACCTTAGGACCGGGACAAACGGACGATGGACGCAAGCCAGATGTTCGGTTTTGGTGTGTTGATTTATGTGGAGAGGTGTTTTTTCTCCAGGTTGTTTGAGCGAGTTATTCTCACAAACAGCTCATCTTCGGCATTTGGTGACGATGTTGGTTGCCGCTCCAAAACGGGGGGTGCTGCTCCAAAACGAAGGCAGGGGTGCACTTGGTCCCACACACGTGGGGTCTAAACACCATCCCACTGGTTGTTTGCCAGTGTTGTTTTTCCAGTTTCCCATTAATTACAACAACGACCACAAACAACAGTTGGCCGCCTTTCTCAGCTGCTTTCCTCGCCCACTTTCCTTGCCTTCTTTGGTGCATCGAAGATGCGCCGCACAAGGAGAAAGGGGGGAAACCAATCAACAATGCCACTTCAGATGGCGTTTTACATGAACCACCTTTAGGATGTAATTTTGGAAATTGTACCATTCAGTAGAACATATGCACGTACCTCAATTTGCTTTCGTTTAAAAATGCTTTCAGGCAGAGGGCTCGAGCATACCTCATCCTTCAAATCAAGCAGGTATATCAACAGGAAACGTATTTATATAGCTGCACATTGTGTGGCTTTGCGGGGGTGGTGGCCTGCTATGGCTTGCGGAAACTTAGCCAGGCTTTGCGAGGCTGTGTGGGTGTGGGCCGTGGGTCAAAACCTCAAGCTGCAAACAATTGCACACCATACAAAGTTGACACTCCTCTTAGAGGAACTTGATGGATTTTGTTTGTTTTCAGGTGTCAACCAGTGTGTTACAGGGTTTTGATTCACACTCACACCCATGTATTTCCCTGTCTTTGCATGTTTAGTTCTCGCTCCGCTGCGAGGAATCCAGAAAGCGGTGGTGTCCCCGCACGACATGCTGCTTGGCAGATGTCGGAGGCCGACCCCAAAGCTTAACAAGGAAGAGGCGAAAGGAAGATGTTTTACGAAACAATTTCTATGTTGGTGGGACATGTCACCTGTCCCAGGCACGCCACATGCCCGTTTTTCAGGCCAGCCTGAAGACCGGTGTGTGGTGATCGCATCCAACTGCCCAGGTTCGATGGCACCTGGGGGAATGCCTCCCTCTATGGCCGGAAATGTCGCACGGCGCATGCGATGTGGGGCCGATGTGTGCCTGGTACTGGGTTGAGGAGCAAGGACTTGAGCCTCAAGTGAATGAAAAAGCACTAAGGTGCTACTGGGGAGGTGTGTTTTCACAAGTTCCTTACTCACTCCTGAACATCGCAATGGACCAAGAACCCTTTGGCAAGCATGGGTTTGATGTTCAAAAGTTGGGGAAACGCAAGAGGTTGATCCCTTGCAAGGAGTCCAGCATTGTGATCGTGATGCCTTATTTTTTGGGGAAGGGATGTGTAACGAATTAGTTGTTTTTGTTGGGACGCTCCAAGCCTTTGGTTTTAAATAGCTGATTCAATTCTGTGGTCAAGAACATTCAAGAACGTCAGTTTGGGACTTGTGAATCCCAAGGGGCAGCTAATGCTCCATGTATCCAGGCATGTACGTTGCGGAGCCTCCAATGCCGCGCTTGCCAAAAGCTGCTTTGTTGGATGATCCAAGTAACTCATACATGAATGGCGTTTCCTTTGCTTTGTATGAGTTACTTGGACCAAAGCAAAAGAACGAGTGGGAGTTACTCAATAGTCTTACTCAAATAGTGGGAGTTGCTTGTCATGTTCCATTCAAGTTCAACTTTGAACCCTTCTTGAAGCCACCGAGGCATCCTCTGCGTCTACCCCGTGCAGCGCCTGAAAAAGCAACAAAGCCTCACACAGTTCGGTCTGGCCCGGCAGACGATCGGCAAGCCGGGAGACCCGAGGATCAACAATCATGCGGGCATGCGGGGAAGCTCGTGGTGGCTCAAACTGAGGATGTCAACTTAATATTGGTTCAATGGGCTCACACTGGGAATGTTCTACCATTTGTTGTGCCCAACAAGTATTTGATGCCATGGCCATGGAGCCGATGGACGATGGATGGGGGTTTATCCGGTTCAGCGGTTCGAAGGATCCAACGGTAGGTGACAAGTTCTGATGTAACTTGGGATGTGCATGAGCCTTTTGCTTTGGCAGAAAACATCGAGTTTTGGCATGTGCTTCTCTTTTGGGTCGTCTACCAGTCAGTAGTTTGCTGATCAGTGATCATAATATACTGATCACTAAATTGTTTAAACTGTCTAAGTCTGACAGTCTTATGGAGTCTCGGAAGGCCCCAGTTCTGGTGGATTGTGCAGCGGTTTCTACATAGAAAGACCCAACCGCCCACCACACCGCAGTCTGGAAGCTGCCCTCCAAGGTCTGGCCGCCTGCGGAGGGCTGGGAGTTTGGCCTCCTTGACCGATCAAACCCAATGGACCCGACGAGGGTTCGCGCGAGAATTCGCGCGCGGTGGCGTGCAGTGGCGTGCAATGCCCAGACATGATACATGGGACTGCCATATTGGCCGAAAAAACGGCCAGGGGTGGTGGTGCCATTGTTGTTGTTGTTTTTCTTTTTCTGGGGCGGCAGTCCTATGACACTCCCATGGAGTCTTTGGGATGTGGGTTTGTTTCAATGGGTTTTTGCTTTGCACAAGAGCTGAGAGGAGATGGTGCCCTCGACATGTCCCAAGTCGAGGTCTTCGGTCAAGTACCGATGCCGAAGACCTTTGTCCCATCGAAAGGAGATTTGTTTGATGGTATTTGATGGTATTTGATCATAGAGGAGGGTCATGTTCAAGGGCAATCGTATTATATCACATCGTATTCACCAAACACTCCATGTACTGTATGGCATATGTTTATCATAGGTCAAGGTCCAAGGTGGACATTTTCCAGTCTTATGGAGTGTTTGGGATCCAGATTTGATGCGCCGTCCCGCGCTCGTTTGTGGGAGGGCCGTCCCGCGGCAGACAGTGTCAACAGCCCGATCCTAATCTATCCTCTCGTGAGGACGAGCAGCAACTTCGGAGCGTCTACGAATCAGGCCTTTTGCTGTGTACCGGACTGGTGGGGAGGATCGTACGAAGGGACATGGATGTGGAATGATGTGCAGCTCGAAGATTGGACCTTTTTGTTCGGTCAGACCGTCTGGACGGTCTGCCCTGAAGTCCTAGTAGCGCTAGTAGGGGCGCAATAAAGCTTCCGAGGACGGAGGAGTCCACGAGGACGGAATCGACCGATGTGCATTACAAGCCTTGGGAATCGACAAGCCCCCCAGTGGAGAGATGGACCACCGTTTGTCCCCCCCACCCTTTCGATTCTTTCGTTTGTGAAGTCTTTGGTGAGTGAGTGTGGGATGCTTTGTCGTGTAAACATGTGTAAACATGTTTACTGTAATTACTGTAAACCGACAGCACAACACATTTCACAGATCACGTATGATCACGTTATGTTCTTCGGCTGCACCTTCTCTCCCGCTGTGCGCATGGTGTCCCGCAGAATTCTGCCGCGGGACCCGCTCCCACCGCGCCGCGGCGGGCGCTCTGTGGGCTGCGCCTCGCGCCATGTCGGACGCGTTCAATGCCTCGCACGGGTCGAGTCAGAGCGATCGTGAGTCGCGCAGTGAGGGGGAACCGGAGGTGCTGGAGGACCGGCACGTGTTGTGGTGTTTTAGGGCAGGGTGGTGCTTTGATGCAAGGAGGTGAGACATCTGGGTGACCCAAGACTCCAAGAATGCAATCCACTTGTGTTTTACCCAGGAAAGTCGTGCTGGTGGAAAGGAAGACTGAATGGTAGCAAAAGGATGCCAGGAGCTAGCAACGGATGGCACAGCTGGAGCCGGGGTTAAGTGGAACCTCGACATCCAGCAAGCTTGAAACTCATCATGGAGGCGCGTCTTAAACAATTTGGCTCAGGTCCACTTATAGATCTTATAGAGCTAGCAAATCACCCCAGCCACGTCACAGGCTTCAAAGGCTGACTTTTGCCTCTCTCAAATTCAAGGTCATTGTGTTGATATGTACTGTATATATATATATTATATAAATATAAATATGAAATGTATTCATAATTGTTAACTCATAGTTTCATATATGTTTTTTTGTACTTATGCATCCCCGATGGAATATCCATCTATGAGTGTCCACTAAAGAATGACTGGCCTTGAGGCCACAATAAAGAGCATTCTGTAGTGAAATCTATTTTTGGACAGTCATCATTGTAGTAATTTGACTTTTGGGCAGCCCAGCCATTTTGTAGTCAGCTTGTGATTGATTACAGTTGATGATGTAGCTGAAAAGCGGTAAAGCAATGCGCGATGCACGTTGGGCAAGTAAATTTCTAGCAGGACCCTAGGTCTGTGCATAATTGACACTCCCCGTTTTCAATGCATTTTGTAGCCAAAACAAGTCACCTTGCTGGTGGTGTAGGCCCTCTTCATTTTGTGGACCTGAAACTTGAGTCCCCTCATATTCTAGACCCTCAACTACCTCACTCCCTACGACAGGATGCAATGGTCGAACGTCAACTGATTGTTCTTCACACGGGTATATTTACGCAATAGTTCACACAATAGAACACCACATAGTATTGAAACATTGATACTGTTGATGGACGAAATCCTGCACCACCTCACCACTTTACCCTGGAAGGGTCGCATAGAAACCCCCGCGCCCCCCTCATTCAATGTTGGCGCGACCCCTTTGAAAAGGTGGTGCAGGATTTTGGACCTTCAACTTGTTTTAATTTTCCCACTGTGGTGGCCCCAATATCAATGAGGGTGAACGAGGGCAGCAAGAAAACTGTGCGCAAAGTGGTGCAGGATTTTGTCCATCAACAGTATGATACATCATACAGGATAGATAGATAGACAGGTGTAATACATACATACATATATATATATAACACATATAATATATACATTTAGATTCAGATGTAGATTTAGATAAACATAGTGATAAACATACACATCTACAAACATAAACCCGTTCAGGAATGTTCAGGACAGTTTTCAGGAGTGTCCAGTTTAGATATCAAGTTCCGACGGGAGGGTCGGCTACGGGGGTAGATGCCCAACAAATTCACGGTCAACCACGGTCAACCCACGCTGCTCTTCCAAGACCTGGATGATGGTCACTTGGCCCTGGTGAATCACCAGACCTCAATCACATTGGTTGGTCGCGGAGACGCCCACCACACCCTTCTCCTAACTTCCTAACTGATTGCTTGCCGTTCAAGTCCGATGCTTGTTCGGAACGGTGGGTGCCATGACAGGACAATGAGGTCTCCGAAACGATGGAAGAGGGACAGGACGAGGCCGCACGGTCACAGTACAGGTTTGGGCTGCCCGGGTGACGTGTCCGTGTCTGGTGTTTTCGGGGCCCTTGCTGCGCTTTGGCTCGGGAAAGAAGACAACAAGCGGTTGTTTCCTCATCAAACTTCCCCTGCGGTGGACAACTTCTTCCCCAGAACTTCGGATCTGCATCGCCAGGTTCTGTCAAAGGTTCTTATGAAGTGATCCGAAGCTGTCCCCAACAAAAAGCACCACGGAAACGGTACGGCCCACCCAACCGCTTTTTTTTCGGCCCACGAGGCCAACCGCCTGAAGATGATCGACGAGTGCTTCGCGGCAAGCGGCTTGGAGCCGTGGCTGAGACCTAGCCGGTGCGAGGTAGACAGCAGTGGTAGACACCGTGGCTCATATGTGACACAGCAGGTTAAGCAGTGAGGTACACTCAACCGTGGCTGAGACAGCGGGTGCATGTTGTTTGCTTCTTAGACACTCAGTGGAGTGTCTCGCAATGATACGGGATGCTTCAGGACCTCAACTGGGGATTTTGTTTCAGGCCTTCAATCTTTCATAATACGTGATACGAAATTAATTTATAGCAGTACAATAAAACTAGTTTCAGTTTCCACATGTTTCAGATATTGAACTAGTTTCGAATAAATAGTATATATATATATATCCAAATAAAACCAAAAGGCGTGTCGTCCAAAGTGATCTCCTCCATCCACGTGGGATTATGATGGAGGAGGTCAGTCCTTTAGGAAAACGTTTGAAAAGCACTCCTGCGCCCATTTTAGACCATGTGGGACACCCCTTAACTGAATTCCTTTTGTATATGTGAAATGGCCCCCCTGAATGGTTTTTGCTGCGTCGGACAGCGCTGGTGCTTCGTCGCCCAACGTGGGACGTCGTTGCCAGGAGCCGTACCGCTCAGTGAATGAGAGCTCACTGGACACGTTGTACGTTCCGGACGACATCGTTGAGGAAGTGCAGGAAGATCCGATCCGGTTCCGTGGTGCCGCGGGTATGAAACGCGCGTGGGATGGGACTAGTCGCTTGGAATGGGACAGCTGTTTTGGCACACCGAGTGCCTGGGACTAGGTGTTGCAAAGCTACCCTCTCAAGGAAGTGTTGGACTAGGTGAGCATACACTCCAATATGCTTCAAGCACGGAGAGTGGATGGAGCCACTCCAGGAAGTTGAAGTACAAACAGATACAGAAGCCATGAAGCCCCACATCCAGCAGTAAGTAATGGCCTATGAACAGTTTATGGCCTTTTGAAGGTCCGAAAAAATTGAGAAACATACAGCCAGTAGCACAAACCCTTGAACCAAACCCACATTGTGCAGCCATGTGAAATAAAACATGCGTGTTTGCTTCGAATGCTTTGCTTGATTTTCTGCGTGTTTGCTTGCCACTGCTCTTTGGATTCAATACCTAATCTTTTGTGTTGCTCTTTTGAATCGCTGTTTTCCTTGTTTTTCCTTTTGTTCCTTGTTGTTGTTGTTGTTCCATAGGATGTTTGGAGCATGATGCTCGAAGAGTGGGGCTCCCGCGAAGCCGCCGGGGATGCTCGGAGCTGGCGGATCTTTTCACCGATGGCCGGGGCCGGGCGGATCTCGGGGTTGGTCACTGGCCGCAGTGGACGACGATTCATCAGCATGGAACATGGAGT